TGAATCATGCCTCCTCGTGTGGGATTACCGTTTTCCTAAGGCTTTACAGTTACAAAACGATTTTCACCGTTTCTTCCCTGTATCAAAATTGTCACGTTATGCGCGCGCTACTTCCTCTTCCAGGTTGGCAAGGTATGTCTGAAGCGTGAGTCGTTCGTAGAATATGACATCACGTGCTGCCACTGTTTCCTTCATGTTGATGTCGAAAATCTTCCATGCGTTGTAGTGTTTTTCGATGCCCAGGTGTAGTCCCCACTGTGCGTGTTGGGAGAATCGGCCAGCTCGTGCAGTTGGGGGTCGGTACTGTACCATGCAGCCAAAATTTCGTAACATTTTTGTGCTGCCCAGTTTTCCTGTCCACAGCAGATGCGGTGATGCGTTGTTCGGAAGTGATGATGACGAGAGGAGGTTGTGCAGCATGACAGCGTGGTCCATCGCCTCGGGCCACTGGTGGTTGGGTAGCCGCATGCCACGTAGCAGTTTGCGCATGGTGTTCTGAAGGGTCCTCTTCTTTCTTTCTGCTACACCCTGCTGTTGATGGGCGTAGGGGAGGGAGATGAGCCGCTTGATTCCCCTCTCTGCCAGGTACTGCTTGAACTTTTGTGAAGTGTATTCTCCTCCCCCGTCAGACTGAAAACTCTTCAGCTTAACTCCCAATTCTCGTTCTGCAACTGGAAGCCAGGCGACGAAGGCTTCGAAGGCCATGTCGCGGCTTGGGAGGTTGAGATGCCAAACATAGCGAGTGGCGGCGTCGATGAACGTGATGGTGTAGCTGTATGCTCCTTGTCCGGGTTCGCAATTGTACAAGATGTCGCTGTACACTTTCTCCAGAGGTGCATACGCTGGTGCACTTGGGTTGTGGTGAGAGACGAAGGGCTGGTGCGGTAAGTCAGCTTCTGGGCATGTGAAGCAAGTTCCTCGCATTCGTCGAAGTTCTCTCTGCCGTCAGGTAAAAGCAGTGAGTCTTTATCAAGAACGCCTGCTCGAATCGTGTTGTTCAACGTTGTGTTGCTCGGATGTCCCATTCGTTTGTGCCAGAGATCTTCATCAGCTCGATGTCCGGGTGAGCGTCTGTATAGGTCGGAGTTGGAGTAAAAACCGGCGGTGAGATTTGCGCTTCGATGAACTTCTCGTGGCGTTGGGTTCAGCTGCTGCGCAGGAGTCGGTGGAGTGTCGTCGACGAGGACCGGTGCCGTTGAGGATCCTGCAATTGGTGTTGATGTTGTCTCTGCTGCTGCCGAGGATGTCTCTGCTGCTGTCGGTGTTGTCTCTGCTGCTGCTGATGTTGTCTCTGCTGCTGCCGATGTTGTCTCTGCTGCTGCCGATGTTGTCTCTGCTGCTGCCGAGTGTTGAATCGTTGCTAATGCTCGTGTTTGCTCTGCCTCAGGGATAGTGTGTGAGTACCAGAAGCCCTCAGGACTGAAGTCAGGATCAAGATCCGGTGGGTGCGTCCAGGAGGTGAAGGTGACAATCCCGTCGCTGTCAGCGGTGCCGAGATCTGGGACGAAGTCGAGGACAAAGACGTTATTTTTCAGGACCGCCTTCCCGATGTAGAGACCGCCCTTCCTGTGGTATAACTTGAACTCCTGAGTGGTGCTGTCTGCTTCGAGGTGTAAGCCCTTCGCCATCAGTTGACTGACGCTTAGTAAGTTGTAGACGAGTCCTTCTGCTATTAAAACCTTCGACATCTGCAGTATGACATTTGTCTCTCGTGACTGAAGTTGAACTACGCCTTGTCGTAGTGTTCGCAGGTTTTGATTGTTAGCAACGGTGATGACGACTTCACGCCGGAGTTGGTGTTCGCGTTGAACGAAGCGACCTGAAGAGGACATGTGCTGTCCGCAGCAACTGTCCAAGAACTAGGTATCCTTCCCGGATGGCTCACTTTGAGCGATGGCTGCATACGTCGGATTTGGTTGAAGTGACTCGCGGCGAGGGGTGCTGTTGTCGAGTTGCTCTTCCGCTGAGTAGTATGGTGGTGACTCGGTGATGCAGGAGTCAGTCAGTCTTGCCATGCAACTGACGATGTTTCTTGTTCCTTGTGCAGATTGCGTTGACAATGTCGTTGAGGACTGCAGTTGACTCGTGGGGTGCGCTTGTGTGGACGTCACTTGACTACTTGAAGGACGAAGTTGGCGTTGCGATGGTGTTGACTGCTGTCGATTTGGGCAGTGTGTGCGAGGGTGCCCTGAAGTCTTGCAAAGATGACAGAATGGAGGTACGGGTTTTGGTTGATGCCGGTTGTTGTTGTTGTTGTAGCGCTGTTGAGTGTGAACTGCGAATTCGGGTACTGACGTTTTCTTCTTGTGCCGCTCCTCTTGCAGGTCCATGTCTTGCTGTTCAGCGTGAATTTCGGCGTATAGTGCTGCTTCGGAGATCTTCCCGTGAGCTCGGAGTATGGCGCGAGTGGAGCACCAGTGAGGGCCAAGGCCAGTGATGACGACTGTGACGAAAGCTTCTTCGGATATCGATCCTCCGCATCGAAGGAGTTTGTCGCGCAGTTCGCGACAGCGACTGATATACGCCATTCCTTTTTCGCCTGGTTTCATTTCCACTGATGTCAGCTGTGCCATTCATCGACTCTGGTTGACGCTGTCTGTTGCTTTATACAGGTTCTTCAAGTGGTTGTACGCCAGTTCGGCGGAGTTGCCGTATCCCCGATAAGACCGAATGTTCTGCTGCTGGTTTGGAGTTATGTTACTCAGCAGGATTGTGTAGGCCATCATTGACTGATACGTGTACTGCTGCTTGTCGTATTGCGTTCCGTTTGTTGGATATGGCAGGGACCCGACGAAGAAGCCGAGTATCTGCGTGCCTTCCATCATCAGCTCAAACTCGAATGACCAGGTGAAGAAGTCCTTCCCGTCGAACGGTCTTGAAGTTTGCTGTTTTAAGACATGCGCGAATTGTGACTGGACTTGGAGTGCATCCAACGTCTTTTCTTGTCCAGGTGAAGGTTGATGGTGTGGCATAAAGCTGATGGAGCCTCGTTGGGGCTCGTACAGAGCGAAGGTAGGCTGCTGCTGTTGATTTCCGCGTGCGTAAGATGAGCCATCGAGACTCATGGGTGTCACGTCGTTGTTGTTGTTGCTGTTGTTTGACTGCGCAGGTACCGCTTGCTGATGTTTCTCGTAGAAGGACATGAAGGAGAAGAATTTCTCCATCATGCTTGGGTCGAAACCCGCAGCTTTATTTGCGGGAGTTTCAGTGGACGTTGCCCTTGGTCTTGTTGCCGTACCCTCCTCTGTCTGCAGGCCAGAGGCAGGTGGTGGAGTAGGAGTAGTGCCGGGAGAACCATTAGAGCAACTCCTTTCCTTCTGTGTTGCCATGCCTTCTGATGTTGTAGGTGTCTTGATAGTAGTTGAGTTTGCCCTGCTAGCTCTCATACCATGTTGGGCTGAGAAAAGCCCTTAGGATCTTTTACAGGACTAAACTCGGGTAGAGATGATGTAATAGCGGAAGCGTTTTAATGAGGGGTTTGTGAACCACCTTGCGCTGGTATGTGAGGGCAAAGTAGATTGATTAAAGCAAAGAGATACAAGGTTTTATATAAGGATACAAGGAATATGAAGAGATACTATTAATAACCGTTTTACTGTTGCTGTTGCGGTTCGATACAGTGACGACTCGGGCAACTGCTCAATAGCGAGTCAGTTGTTTGTCCTTGCTGTCGCGCTGTACTTGTCAGGTCAAAGGTCGTTGACCTTTGACTTTCGCGTAACCTCCAGCAGTTGCTCAACCTCCGAGGGTTGACTCGCCGATGCTTCGATATGTTTTGCTTCGCTTGTGACTTAGTGTTTCGACACGACAAAGGCGCTTAAATCAATTGTTTCCAACATTAGTTAGTTAGCGTATCCCTCCAAATGGTAAGATGGCAGATTCAAACTTTCGTGTCGACTAAAGTTCTACCGAAGGTATACGCGTTTCTCTAGGTCCAGTATCAGTGTAACCGAAACACTACTCTGTCTTCTAGTCAGGAATAACAAGTCGTACACTGTTTTGCAAAGAATATAATAATGTAAGAAAACACTCTTTTTGAGAAAGGGTAGCGATCCAGTTAGACTACATACGGTACCTGGATCAGGGTAAGTCAAAACAAGTGGCCACAATAAAGGGTAAAAAGGGCAATGTTTCCTATTATTTTTGGCCTTGAATAGGGCTTTTAGTCGAATTATTTTGTTCTAGCCTCGTAGATTTTATAAGATTTACGTTTTTTAAGCTACCGTATGTTGAGGAAATGAGCACAGTGTCGTCATGTAACCGTATAGTAAAAACATTTACGCTAAAAAAGCGGAAATGATCAGTGTCTTCATGTAATCCAATTGCAGGTGGCTTATAGCCTCTTTGCCTCACGCTAATTCCCGAGGAAATATGATATGGGGGGGGGCTTTACCCGGGGGACTTAGTGGTCATTTGTGCTGAGGGGCTACAATCCCTTCTTGTCTAGGTGGCAATGTGCATATACGATAGGTGGCAGATCAGTGACCCCAAGAGAACCCCAGTGACAGCAATGAGAAACCATCGGAACTTGAGCTCAGCAATGAGCTCCCGCCAGCAAAATATGTCGTGGTAGACGACTCCCCTCCGGTGCTTGCACTCTCTTCTCTACCACACTCCCACTCTTCCTCCTTGTCAGGGCAGTGCTTGTCAATGAGGGCACGGAAGCGGTATGCCACGTCCTTCATGTCGGGGCGGCGTGTGCCGGGCGCCTTCATGCAGTCCAGCGCCAGGTCAGCAAAGTCCACCACGGCCTCGTCACTGGCCTGCAGCTTGCTGTCCTTGAGCTCGTCCAGCTCATATGCATCCACCCTCTGCTGCGCCTGCACCACGGAGCAAGGCCGGTGCGCGGAAGCGAATAAACACTAAAAATGCGTGAGGTAGTGCAGTAAAAAGACAAAGAGCAAGGTGGCATGGTACAGAGCAAAAGGTGCAAGGGAGCATGGTATGAAGGAAAGGCGGTGCAAGGGGCAGTGCCACGATTGGTTCTAGCATGGGCATACCCAGATAATGATACGGGTTCGATGGTGAGAGCTGGGTGGCGTTCCACTCAGCAACTCCAGAAGCACAATGCCGAAGCTGCAAACGGGTACATGGAGGGGCATGGAAACAGCTGGAGAAAACAACAACCAGCAACAGTCTGTCTGTGCATGATCAAAATTTGACCCGTCCATTCTGCGAGCGTATATATTTCGGACATGTTAAAGGGATCAGTGTTCCAGTATCTTGTGATATGGTGAAGCGCAATCCACACGCACCTGAAGACATCGCTTTTGGCCGTGATGACCCCAGTGCGGTTGTAGTCAGGGTCCACATAGCCGGGTGTGCCCGTCACTCTGGTGGCATGAGCATCGCCGTGAGTGAGCTGCTTGAGCAGCCCGAAGTCAGCCACCTTGGCGTGCATGTCGCCTGAGACCATGATGTTGGCGGGCTTGATGTCGCGGTGGATGATGGGCGTCGCAAACCCGTGCAGGTATGCCAGGCCCTCCGCTGCTCCTTGCGCCAGGCGCAGCCTCTGGCGCAGCGAGAGAGGGTCTGGAAGAGAGACTCGAGGCAGGCACGAAGTTTGTTGGTGCATTAGCAACTTTTGACATTCTCTGCTCATGGTTGGCAACTTAATGACTTGGTGCGAGAGTTACTGACTCTTGGTCTTGTAGATGTGGTGGTGCAGGTCTCGGTTGGCCACGAACTCGCACACGAGGATCTGCTCCTGCTTGCCCGTCTCCACGTTCTGGTCCTGGCAGAAGCCCAGCAGGCGCACCAGATTCACATGGTGCAGCGTTGCCATGGCTCGCACCTGCATGCGCCGCACAGCACAGTGGTCAGGGAAGGCAGAAGGCAATATGATGTTGCAGGGCTTAACAGTGCTTTTATTATAGAAGAGGCAGCTCAGCATTCAAAAGAGCAGAGTGAACCCATTGCCACGGTGCTGTGGCTGAACGGCGGGAGTTGAGCAATGGAGTAGAAGCATCAACGCAAGGGCTGACCTCCGTCTCAAACTCGTTGGTCGTGACAGTGGAGCGCTTCACTGCCCACAGCTGCCCCTGCGGCGAGCACCCCTTGTACACGGTGCCAAACCCGCCCTGCCCCAGCACGTTCTCAGGCGCCCAGTTGTCTGTGGCCTTCACCAGCTGCTGCAGTGAGAACTGCTCGCACAGGTCCAGCCCCTCCCACTTCCCTGTGCCCCAACACAGCACGGTGAGGAGGGGTGAATTGGTGGGAGGCCATGCAGCAACACGCGTTTCAAGGGGGGTTTGAGCGAGTGGGCAGAGCAGGGGAGCAGAGGTGGGTGAGCTGTAGTGCAGGCATGGAGGCAGGAGGGGCGGGGGGTGCGATGGGGGGGAGGGGGGCAAGGCGACTGGAAAGAGGTGCAAGAATGGGATGGATGACATGTGAGCATTGGTGGCAGTCTTACTTTGTCGACGGGGCCACAGTAGCCTGGCAAGCACAGCAGTGAGCAGAATGAACCCGGAAAAGCACCCCACAGCAATGCCCACGATGGCACCCGTTGACAGCGACGACACTGCCAAGGAAAGAGCAGGGGGGATGGGGAAAAGAGGGGGGAATGGAGGAGATGGAGTTGGAGATGCGCTATGGGCAGGAAGGGCAGGAAGGGCAGGAAGGGCAGGAAGGGCAGGAAGGGCAGGAAGGGCAGGAAGGGGGAGGATGTGAGCACAGCATGGGCTCCAGTCTCCACATGGCTGTGCATGCATGTGTGAGGGTGCCTCACCAGCAGTGGTGGTGGAGTTGAGTATGGCGCAGGTGGAGCCATTGCCCAGGTCCACGGAGGAGTACCCGGCGTCGCACATGCATGTGAAGTTGGCCTGGGCGGCCGGTGCAGGCGGCACGCACGCCCCATGGCCGTCACACGGGCCGTTGTCCGTGATGCTGCAGAACGCCTGGCAGGCTGCCGTGCTGCGCTGGGTGGCGTTCGACGGGCACTTTTTGTCCGATTTGAGCGTCAGACAATTGTCTGCGAGACTCCCCCTGGCGCCCTTGCCTGCCCCCGCCACCGAGTGGTCTCGCTGGGCAGAGAAGCCGGCATCGCTGCACTTCCCTGCCACCCCCAAGCTGCTGTCGCTGAGCTGCAGTTGGTTGCGCTGGGGGATCTCCTCGGGGCACACCTGGCAGCCATCGGCAAAGAGCACGGCGTCTCCGTAGAAGAAGTTGTGTGCGAGGTTGATGAGCGCGTCGCCGTCCGCCACAATGCTGTTGAAGTTGCGGTTGATGCGCCCGTACAGGCTGTTGTTGCTCACATCGCTGCGGGGAGCAGGGGGGGAAGGGTGACACAGGTTGGTGCTTGGCCCTTTGATCCGTGAGCCTAGTTCATGAGCGCCTCGCTGCCCGCCACCGTGCTGTTGAAGGTGCGGCTCCCGTACCCATACAGGCTGTTGCTGCTCCCGTCGCTGCAGGGTTGAGGGGCGGAAGAAGGGAGGGGGGGGGGGGGGAGGGAAGGGGGCGGGAAGGGGGGGAAGGGGAGAAGGGGGGGTCACACGACAGGCGCAGGTGCTAGAAGAAAGGCTTGCTATAGCGAGCTGAGAGGCCCACCTGACGGTCAGCAGCGCGTTCACTCAACAACAGCGCATGCCCACCTGACGCATGCTTCTTACCAATCTTTGCACCTGACCGCACTGACAACAGTGAGCAGCATACATCGCAGCACTCTTTGGGAGTGGGGATGGATGAAGTAAGCAGGTGGGCTCACATCTGGTTGACGCACTTGTCAAAGAGGCAGTCTGGCAGAGGCCCGTAGAGATGGTTGTTGCTCACCATGCTGCCAGCACAACCCATGCCATGCATGAACCAACACAAGTCGCACCATACGGAGCCGCATAGAACCAAAGAGAGACAAGATAAGCCGCGGCGCACCATGCACCGCTGCGGAGTTCGGGCACACTACAGGTGCCCCATGCACCCAGGCTGTGCTTGCTTGCACTTGACCACAATTCCAGCACACTCTCCACACCTGTGCCACTTTACTGCTACTAACAACTGCATACATTCAAATGATACGTTCCTCCTATCTGGACCAATGCGTCAACATCCCTAGGTCACTCCAAGAAGCATATGCCAGCCACTCACATGCGCCACAGCCACTCACATGCGCCACAGCCACTCACATGCGCCACAGCCACTCACATGCGCCACAGCCACTCACATGCGCCACAGCCACTCACATGCGCCACAGCCACTCACATGCGCCACAGCCACTCACATGCGCCACAGCCAGGGCAGCGAGCAGATGGCGGATGGCAGAGGGCCCTCAATGCTGTTGTTGTCCAGCCAGCTGCGGGGGGCAGGGGGGAACAGAAGTAGGGGCATGAGAGCAGCAGAGTGCAATAGGGCACGGCAGAAGGCAGAGAACATGGGTGGGTTCGGCAGGGCGGACAGCTTGGCACACATGTAGGCATGGGGTGGGATAATCAAGATCCTCGCGTGTCCCAGAAGACAAGTGAACCGCTCAACACAACATGGAAGGGTGCACGTGAAGTGGGGGGGTGGGTGCGGGAAAGAGGGAGCGAGAGAATGCAAGCTTGGGGAAGAGCCACTACACTGAGGCAACGCCAGGCTGCCCCCTTACCCTCACGCCCCACAATGCTCCCATGCACATCCCCTTACCCTCATGCCCCACAATGCTCCCATGCACATCCCCTTACCCTCATGCCCCACTACGCTGCTGCCATGCACATCCCCTTGCCTCCCCTGCTGCGCAACACGCTCCTCACGACTGCTTGAGATGGCAGGCAGGGAGGGCAGGAACGGAGAGGCAGGCAGGGAGGGCAGGCAGGGAGGGCAGGCAGGGAGGGCAGGCAGGGTCCTCACATCTGTTGGAGATTCTCCAAGCGACTGATGGCAGACGGCAGACTGCCACTCAGACGGTTGTTGGCCAGATAGCTGCAGGGCATGGAGGGGCGCATGGAGGGGCGCATGGAGGGGAGCATGGAGGGGCGCATGGAGGGGCGCATGGAGGGGCGCATGAAGGGGAGCTACGGTTGTGAGCAGTATATGGGAGAGCAGCGCGTTGACACAAGGAAAAGGTATGGTCATAGTAGAAGGGTAGTGAGGTGCAAAGGTTCGTCATAAAACCCCAAAATCCATCACTATATGGGCAGTTAAGACTCAAAGGGATTGTAGATTCGTCATGTTGAAGATGGCAGCTGGAATGGTCCCGGTCATTCGGTTGTTGTCGAGGATGCTGCAGAGGTATGGCAAGGGCAGAGCGCATGAGGCATGGCAAGGGCAGAGCGCATGAGGCATGGCAAGGGCAGAGCGCATGAGGCATGGCAAGGGCAGAGCGCATGAGGCATGGCAAGGGCAGGGCGCATGAGGCATGGCAAGGGCAGAGCGCATGAGGCATGGCAAGGGCAGAGCGCATGAGGCATGGCAAGGGCAGAGCGCATGAGGCATGGCAAGGGCAGAGCGCATGAGGCATGGCAAGGGCAGAGCGCATGAAGCATGGCAAGGGCAGAGCGCATGAGGCATGGCAAGGGCAGAGCGCATGAGGCATGGCAAGGGCAGAGCGCATGAGGCATGGCAAGGGCAGAGCGCATGAGGCATGGCAAGGGCAGAGCGCATGAGGCATGGCAAGGGCAGAGCGCATGAGGCATGGCAAGGGCAGAGTGCATGAGGCATGGCAAGGGCAGAGCGCATGAGGCATGGCAAGGGCAGAGCGCATGAGGCATGGCAAGGGCAGAGCGCATGAAGCATGGCAAGGGCAGAGCGCATGAGGCATGGCAAGGGCAGAGCGCATGAGGCATGGCAAGGGCAGAGCACATGAGGCATGGCAAGGGCAGAGCGCATGAGGCATGGCAAGGGCAGAGCGCATGAGGCATGGCAAGGGCAGAGCGCATGAGGCATGGCAAGGGCAGAGCGCATGAGGCATGGCAAGGGCAGAGCGCATGAGGCATGGCAAGGGCAGAGCGCATGAGGCATGGCAAGGGCAGAGCGCATGAGGCATGGCAAGGGCAGAGCGCATGAGGCATGGCAAGGGCAGAGCGCATGAGGCATGGCAAGGGCAGAGCGCATGAGGCATGGCAAGGGCAGAGCGCATGAGGCATGGCAAGGGCAGAGCGCAGGAGGCATGGCAAGGGCAGAGCGCATGAGGCATGGCAAGGGCAGAGCACATGAGGCATGGCAAGGGCAGAGCGCATGAGGCATGGCAAGGGCAGAGCGCATGAGGCATGGCAAGGGCAGAGCGCATGAGGCATGGCAAGGGCAGAGCGCATGAGGCATGGCAAGGGCAGAGCGCATGAGGCATGGCAAGGGCAGAGCGCATGAGGCATGGCAAGGGCAGAGCGCATGAGGCATGGCAAGGGCAGAGCGCATGAGGCATGGCAAGGGCAGAGCGCATGAGGCATGGCAAGGGCAGAGCGCATGAGGCATGGCAAGGGCAGAGCGCATGAGGCATGGCAAGGGCAGAGCGCATGAGGCATGGCAAGGGCAGAGCGCATGAGGCATGGCAAGGGCAGAGCGCATGAGGCATGGCAAGGGCAGAGCGCATGAGGCATGGCAAGGGCAGAGCGCATGAGGCATGGCAAGGGCAGAGCGCATGAGGCATGGCAAGGGCAGAGCGCATGAGGCATGGCAAGGGCAGAGCGCATGAGGCATGGCAAGGGCAGAGCGCATGAGGCATGGCAAGGGCAGAGCGCATGAGGCATGGCAAGGGCAGAGCGCATGAGGCATGGCAAGGGCAGAGCGCATGAGGCATGGCAAGGGCAGAGCGCATGAGGCATGGCAAGGGCAGAGCGCATGAGGCATGGCAAGGGCAGAGTGCATGAGGCATGGCAAGGGCAGAGCGCATGAGGCATGGCAAGGGCAGAGCGCATGAGGCATGGCAAGGGCAGAGCGCATGAAGCATGGCAAGGGCAGAGCGCATGAGGCATGGCAAGGGCAGAGCGCATGAGGCATGGCAAGGGCAGAGCACATGAGGCATGGCAAGGGCAGAGCGCATGAGGCATGGCAAGGGCAGAGCGCATGAGGCATGGCAAGGGCAGAGCGCATGAGGCATGGCAAGGGCAGAGCGCATGAGGCATGGCAAGGGCAGAGCGCATGAGGCATGGCAAGGGCAGAGCGCATGAGGCATGGCAAGGGCAGAGCGCATGAGGCATGGCAAGGGCAGAGCGCATGAGGCACCGGCTACTGCGAGGTGCTAGCCAAGTTCAGTCATGTCAGTGTTTTCCCTGATCTACTCTGGGTGAGAAAACGACACTTCGCGGATGCAGGTGGAGATATGGTGGGAGGCATGTGGTGAGGGGCATGTGGTGAGGGGCATGTGGTGAGGGGCATGTGGTGAAGGGCAGGTGTTGAGGGGCATGTGGTGAGGGGCAGGTGTTGAGGGGCATGTGGTGAGGGGCAGGTGTTGAGGGGCATGTGGTGCAGGGCTTGTGGTCCAGGGCATGTGGTTCAGGGCTTGTGGTGAGGGGGCCACAGCAGACGAGGCTCACATAGCCTGCAGAGTGGAGAGCATGGAGATGGAGTCAGGGATGGGCCCTGTGAAGTTGTTGTTGCTCAGCGCCCTGCATGAGGAGCAGCACTCACTCACGGAGCATGGCACCCACAAGAGCAAGCGATGTGATAGAGGCAAGGCAAGACACATGCCAGTGATCAGAAAGTTGCCACCAGGGAGGGAAGCATGTTTGTCAAGGCTGTTTGTGCAACGGTAGAAAAAGAGCGAGTGGGGCAAGGAAGGGGGGTTGGAGAGGGGGAGAGGGAAAGAAAGAAGCTTACAGCCTTTCAAAGCTGCCCTTCCACAGCGAGAAGTCTGGCAAGGAGCCTGTGAAGCCGTTTCCTGCAAAGCTACTTCACACGGTTAACGTCGTATCGACCTTGCCCGTTGTTGGTACTTGCAACCTGGTTTTTTTCACAGGAAGAATCTTATAATTTCAAATCACCTGGTAAGGTACAAGAAGATTCCTCCCTAGGACCCGATAAGAAGGGGAGGCCCATGTGGAGTTTAGTACGAACCGCTAATCCGTGCATGTGTTTCCCAATGCAGGGCATCGATTGCAGCCAGCCATTGGCCAAGGCCAGTGTCCTTCAGCTGGACAGCACTCCCACCGCACCCTGCACTGCCTTCTTCTACACCCTCAAGGTGAGGAACTGCTGGCCTCTTGGCCACACCACACCATGCTCTCAATCAACTCAGAAAGTCATCTCAGCGCATCACATCGTTGTTGACACGAGCAAGCAGCAAGCACACTGTCCCTGCCTCTCTCCAACCTTCCAGGGAGACACCTGTGAATCCATGAGCCAGCAGCTCAACTACAATGAGGGGGACATAACCACGCTTAACCCCGGCCTTAACTGCTCCGAGCCCTTCAAGGCGGGCCGCTCGGTGTGCTTGGAGCGCAGTGCTGCCTTCGCCTACACGGTGCCTGAGTGTGTGCAGTACGGCATACTCACACCTGAAGACACATGCGACCGGGTGCTTCAGAGGACAGTTACTGTAGAAGAGAGCTCCTATGGAAACCCGTGGCTAGTACTTTACCGCAACAATCCTGGCCTTACTTGCTCCTCCACCATCCCTAAATCTGCCTCTGCTTCTGGCAGCAAGATTGGCGTACAGGTGAGGGCTGTGAGGGCTGGAGGTTGGGGGGGGGGGGTTGGGGGGAAGGCGGTGGGGGGGAGGGGAGGGGAGGGTGTGCCTGGGGTTGGAAGAGCAGTGAGGTAGGAGGACAAAGGTGGTTGCGCGTTGCACATCGCGAGATTCTGGGCTTCTGCAAGAGTACAAGCTCTGTCGCTCTTGCCTCTGTTCTGCATTCCTTGTTATTCCTACACCATCATGAATTCCATTAACTTCACTCCCATGAATCCTGTCATCCCAGATTTGCCTCCGAGCAGAGTATTGGCCATTCACATTGGGGATCTGCAAGAAGGGAAGGGTGAAGCCAGTCCAGCCATCTATGGCATGTTCAGCTGCTTACCGCTTTTATGATGGACCAACCTCGGCCGGAATTGCACAGTTTTATGACTATAATGTCAGGCCTTGCTCTGGAACTGTAAGAGCGAAGTCTATTTGCGTGCCGTTGTAGTCTTATGCCGTTGTCCAGCGATAAGACCTAGGGACCAAGCCCCAGGATAGATGGGTGAAATACCAACATCACCACGGTCTCCTCTGTTATGACACGAAACTACCGTCTGTTTGTTTGATTTTTAGACGTGTGTTTTTTTACTAGTACATTCTGTTTCCAGAAATCTAATTTCAGGCTTTGTGTAAGTTTCTAATTTCATATTTAGTTTGTCATTTTTTTTACCATGATCAATCAGTTCGTTTTGAAAGAAGAATCTTCGCCCCATACTATATTCCTCCACACACCACTCCCTCCCAGCCTCTCCCCTTTTTTTTCTTGCTGACATTGTTGTTAGAGAGAAGGGTACATACATAGTAAAATGCTCAAGATCAGCGTTACGTAGAAAATAAAACGCTGAATAATTAGCGCTTGGGCCCAAAAAAACTCTGATAATTCTGTGTTCGGCTTTGTCACTAAGCAGAAGTATTTTTTCTAGTATGTACTGTAACAGGTGAGAAGCAAGGTTCATGGTTGGGAGAGAGTGGCAATATAAACAGGGGGCGAGAAGCAAGGTGGGTGCAAGAGAGGCAGGTGAGCTATGGGGAGGGGCGGGAGAGGCAGGTGGGCAGGGCAGGTGGGGAGAGCAAGAAGTGGGTGGGCAGGGGGACGTCGTGGGCTGGGGAAAAGGGAGAAAGAGGTGGGCTGGGAAATGGACGAAATGACAAGGTGGGCTGGAGGGGGGGGCAAGAGAATGAGGTGCCTGGGGGGCGAAAAATGAGGTGGGCAGGTTGGGCGGCTTCATCTTCGTTTTATTGATGACGGGCTGATTCTCTGGGAGGGAACGAGAGCAGAGTTTGAATGTTTACGACAGCGGTTCGATTCACTTCATCCTTCTATCCGACTGACATGGGTGGTTTCAGAAACTACAATGGATTTTCTCGACCTGACAGTTTTTAAGGGGCAGAGATGTTCAAGTTCTGGTACTCTCGACATGAAGCTGTATCAGAAGCCGATGAATTGGTACCTGTACCTGCCTTTCAAGTCCTATCACACCCGGTCTACTAAAGTTGGTTTCATTCGGAGTGAGCTGCAAAGATTTCTCTTACGCTCCTCCTCCCGGTCTGACTTCCTTAACTCCCGCGCTTTATTCTTCGCTCGTCTACGAGCTCGTGGGTACCCGGAGAAATTTCTCCTTCCAATCTTTAAGTCAGTCCTCTTCGCTAACCGTGGGGAACTACTCCAACGCGCCTCTGCAATTCACAACTCTCAAACCCGTGGCCCCCTGGTGCTGAAACTTCTGCTCAACCCGCTGGTTGACCGTTCGCGCATGGGGAACATTTTGAGTCGACTCGAAAGTCAACTCGGTATAATGTCACACGGTATTTTATCTACACGCAGGGCAATTCTCGCTTGGAGTTTACCAAAACGAGTTGGTAATTATCTAATTTCAGCTCATAAGTGCTAGTTTACTGTAGATTTCCTTCTACTGTTTTCATCTAGCTTTCCCCCACCTTCCCTGGCCACGCGGAGGAATGCCTCGCGATTGAGCCCTACAGGTTCATTCTGCTGACATGGTTTCAGAGCAGGTCCTCTCGTAGGACCGTTTTTTTTAGGGCCCACCGAATCGCGCTACCCCACACGTCGCCCCGCCCTGTTAGCGCCGCGCTGCCCTGCCCTGCCCTGCGTCGCACTGCCCTGCGCACGCCCTGCCTTGCGTCGCGCTGCCCGCGTGCCCTGCCCTGCCCGCGCGCTGCTCGCCGCCGCGCCGCGCCGCTCTGCCCGCGCGCAGCTCGCCGCCGCGCGCCCTGCCCTGCCCGCGCGCTGCTCGCCGCCGCGCGCCCTGCCCTGCCCGCGCGCCGCTCGTTGCCGCGCTGCGCCGCTCTGCCCGCGCGCCGCTCGCCGCCGCGTGCCCTGCCCGCGCACTGCTCGCCGCCGCGCCGCCGCCCTGCCCGCGCACCGCTCGCCGCCAAGCCGCCCTGCCCTGCCCGCGCGCCGCTGGCCGCCGCGCCGCCCTGCCTGAGCGCCGCTCGCCGCCGCGCCGCACTGCCTTGCCCACGTGCCGCCCTGCTGGCTGCCGCCCTGCCCTGATCTGCCTGTGCGCCGCCCTGCTGGCCGCCGCCCTGCCTTTCCCTGCCTGCGTGCTGCCCTGCTGCTAGCGTGCCCGACTGCTCTGCCCGCTATGGCAACTCTCAGCGTCCTCACCTTCGATCCGGAGGGCCGCCCGATAGAGTTCGATGCGTGGCTCGATGACTTACAGCTGTACTTACTGAGCGACTCTAGGGACGGTGTTTCGCTGTTTGACCTCACGTCTGGAGCCTCTCTCGCCCCTGCCGCCACAGCTGACAGTGCGACTCGCTCACAGTGGCTTACCCGTGACGCTGTTGCTCGCCTAGCCGTTCGCAACCACCTGCCGTTAGCCGAACGCGCTCACTTTGGCCAGCACAAGACTGCTAGAGCCCTGTACGACGCTGTAGTCGCTCGTTACTCCCCCCCGGCCACTGCTGCTCTAGGCCGCCTTCCACTGCCCTACCTGTTCCCCGAACTGTCCGCCTTTGTCACAGTCGCCGACCTTGTCACTCACCTTCGCACTAGTGACACTCGCTACCGCGCAGCGCTTCCCGCCGAGTTTCTAGCCAAGAACCCCCCTCCCATGTACATCACTCTCTACTTCATCGTCAACCGCCTCCCTGACTCTCTTAGCGCAGTCAGGGAACTCCTTCTCGCCCTTGACCCCACAGACCTTACTGTCGACCTGCTCGAGAAGCACCTCCTTGCAGCTGAGACCAGCATAGTCGCTGTAGGCGCTTCTCCCGGCACTGCACTCCCTTCTTTGAGGGGTGTTCCCCCTCCCCCCTTGTCCCCTCAGTCGCTTCTGCTGCTGCTGTTGAGTTCCTTCGTGCTGAGGAGGTCGGCACTGCGTCTGCTCCTAGTGGGAGGCGCCCCAGCGGCAAGGGCAAGGGAGGCAGGGGTGGTGGGGGTGGCAGCGGTGGAGGCGGTGGTGGGGGCGGTGGAGGCGGTGGAGGTGGCGGTGGTGGCGGAGGGAGTGGTGGTGGGGGTGGAGGCGTAGGTGGCGGCGGTGGTGGCGGCAGTGGGAGTGGTGGCGGCGGCAGTGGTGGAGGCAGTGGGAGGAGGCGGCGCCAGTGGTGGCGGCCGGGGTGGTACCAGTCAGCGGGGAGGCTTTGGCGGTGGTCAGAGGCAGCAGCAACAGCGTCAGCGTGAGACCCCTTCGCCCCAGGAGCTTCGTGAGTGGTTTGCTCAACGTGGGGCGGCTGGGGGTAGTGGTCGCTGCCCGTATGTCATTCGCACAGGTGACCCCTCTGGTCAGACATGAGGGAAGTTTCACACACAGCACCGCTGCTTCTCCCGTCTTGACGACGCCTTTTGCGCA